TGGCCAGGGAGCTGGCCCACATGGTGTGGCAGACCTCTCCTCACCTACCCACTACTCCCCCCAGCAGTATATTTTAGTACATCTGCCCATTCTGCTCCCCACTCTATCTCTGGTGAATCCTCTCACCACCCTCACCCCGCACCTCTGGCCTGTACCCCAGTTTTATGTGCATAAATAAACCTTAATTTAAAAAAAAAAAAAGAAGAAAGAAATGAAATATCAAAGCTGATGTTCCCTTTGTTTCTGTTCCCAAGGCACAGGTCCCTCCCCCAGCAAGAGGTAACCCTAATGTGACACTGCAGTGCGGTTTCTATTTACAGAGTCTTCTCAGATACTTAGGCTGTTTCGTATTTCCATTTATACAGATTCATACTGTGTGTAAGTAAGGTGGGCAGCTTATCTCATCTGTTTTTGTAACTCTTAGATCTATTTGTAATCATGTAATTCTAATTTGTCGTATTATAGAGTATAGGCATTGTAAGAATGTATTCTACCATTTATTCCCTAATAATGGGATCTTCAGCTCATAAGTATTGCTGCACTAAACATCCTTGCACATATCCGGCATATATCTGATCCATACATGTATATGTACATTGTGGATATCATATATGATAATACTTTATTTGAAGTATATTCATAAGAGAAGTTTGGGCATATCATATAAACACTTTTAAAGGCACTAGATGTCATTAAGGGAGTGAGCTCCCCAAAACACATGTGTCAATGTTTACCCCCATAAGCAGTGATTCCCCATTTTCCCATTATGATGGACCTTTTCATGTCAAACCTTTTCATGTCTGTCAGGGTAAGGGGATGAAATGGTATTGGTGGTTTTTGTTGTTTTGTTTATTTATTTTGGTAGCATTGGTTTCCCGCAATGTATATGACTTAGGAGAATAATTTCATATCTTATCTACAGTGACATCATTTTGTTGAATTAAAAACACACTAATTTGCATTTCCCTAATCATGATTGGTTGTGAGCATTTTAAGTTTCCTTTATTATAAATGTCTTAAGTCTACTTGTTTTTTCTTTTTTTCCCATGATACAAAGATCCAATTTTGATTACCAATCATTTGCTATCTATATTGCAAATTCTTCTCCAAATCTCTCCTCCAACTCTATCCGGAAGTCAGGAGAGGATATGTGCTATGTTTGAAGTGTAAGCAGGTTACACTTGGTAACCTGAGAGGCACCTTGTTTTCAGCCTCTTATAACTGAAAACTAAGAGCCACAAACATCAATAAAACCACAGCACAGTCTTAACTTTTGTCACTTTCATCTTAGGGAGCACTTTAATACTCTGCAAGACATCTTTTAATTACCTAATTTCAGTCTCCCAAAAACATGCCACTAGCACCTTATTTTCTCATCTAAAAGACTCCATGGTTGGTCATCAAGTCTTCTTAATGAGAACTGACTTTTTAATCCTCTTTTGCAGCTGGAAAGATCCAGGCCAGAGGACTGGATGAGTGTCCATATGCACAGCCCTCTGACGGGTGCCAGAGGATTGAATGTCAATGATAGCTCAGTCAAGATGGGGGCGAGTAGGTATATGAGGCCCTAAAATCGCAGTCCTCTGCTCCCTAAGGAGTGTCTCTCACCAGCAGCGTCCACATGAATGCACTGTGAGCGGCATCAGGAGACAGGCAGGGAGATGGGAACATGGCAGGTGAGTCTCCATCACTGAACCTTCCCAAACACAGGGAGGACAGCCTCTCCCCCTTTCCACTCATACAAGAAGAGGCACTACAGGGTGAACTCTATTCAACAGCTTTTATTGACCAGTGGTGTGGGGCCCGGATTCTGCACACAGGGCTCTGTAGGTAGAGATGTGACCAGCTTCTATCACTGGAGGCAATTTTATTAGAGATGAAGGGGAGAGCCCACTGCTTTGCTTTTCACCACTCTTTGTACATGCAGAAACACTAATTTACCCAGAACTGTATCTAAGCCAATCGGAGTGGCTCGTATTCCCAATCTAAGATGAAGTGCCACTGTAACCATCGCTGGAATATCACAGACAGGAAACACCACAGCAGTCAGGATGAAACGTCACCATATCTGGGGTCCATCCAATTAACCCCATGAAGAGACATCTCCGGTCAATTCAAGACAGCTGGATTCCACACATTCTAGGGGTGAGGGACCCAGGCCCCCCTGCGAGAATCTGGGGATGTTCACATTTCAGGGGACACTGCTTAGGACAGAAACTACAACAGTGTTCTCGAGTGGTGCCTCCTCCATTTTTCCAGAAACTAAATGTACTCAAACTAACTATACAAAAGTCCTCTAATTTGACTCCCTCATTTATTTTTATTTTTATTTTTTTAATTTATAGAATCATAGGCAGGCAAATGCACTCTGGCTATACTACTTAATAGTATATTTCATGGCTTATAATATATACTCACTTGTTTCTATTATTATAGGGACATTTCTCTCCCTGCCTGGGATGATGAGTCTGATTCCTACCCAGTTCAAAACATGAGGAAATGCCTTACACTTAATAGATGCTTCATATGTATCTATGAAATAAGTGAATCAATGGGTGCTGTACCCACTGGATGCTGGCACCCTCATTTACCAATTTCAGAGCTTCAAGGAGTTACCAAAATTCAGAGTGAGAGAAGAACCCATCTGGCAACTGTAGAAACAGATGAAATATAATTCCTAAAGAGTTCCCTACAAGTCCTCCACATTGACTATACCTGGTAATATGTATGAACAAACCTTCATATCATCTTTTATTTTAAAGATATTGATAAAACCTAAGCAGTACATCCCATATATCCTCTAAAAGTTT